GGACGAGCTAGGACGGCTACCGGAAGTAAATTCACTCAACCGGGCATGCGCACGAGAACTCTCGACTCATTTCTCTGCCGTCCTCATCTCGTCGAGGACGCCATTTCGCCCGACCAGCCGTCGTATCGAAAACGTTAGTATTTTGCTCTTGTTTTTCCTCGATAACTGTTCCAATCGACTTTATTTTCGGTTATATTGATAGGAATGTTTATAAGGTTCACAGTTTTCGTAATTGTAGTGTAGAACACTACGCTGAGATACGAAAATGTGAATAAAAATATTCCTTGTCTGTTCGTTTGTGTTTCTGCAATCACTGTTCAGACGCTATCACGAGTGAGCAAGCTCAATACAAACTGTATGCATTGAGAATACATCAGTGTAAGTACAGTCGATAAAATGTTGTAAGAATGAATGCCATGGAGCATCTATCGAGCAAATAAAATACACATTTTTTGGAATTATTGACGTCGCCGTCCTTTGCGAAAATGCACATCTTAAGCATTTTGTTTTTGGTGACACTACGGGACCCGCGAAAGTTTCCCGCGTCCACTGCCGTTGCCGTCCTGGCCTTCCCGTCCTCGTATCTTAAGGTCCCTATTAATTCTGAATACACCGATTCCAGAAAAAACCCGGANTTTAGTTGTTTTTTTTTATACTACCTGGAACTTGATGCAACGTTTGTTTTATTTTTATAATGCTTGTTACAATTACAGATGGAAATTGAAACGTTCACCAAAAGTCAGGATTCTTCGGCGAGAGAATTCTCAAACGCTCTGGTGGTAAAAAGCCATTTGAAGCAGGTCGATCAGATTGTTCGCTTGATATTTTTTCATACGGAAATTCTGGATTCTCTATTAAAATGTTGACAGATGTTTGCTTCGCTTAATTGTAAAGAAAGAGAAATTCAGCATCGCTGTTCACTATCGTTTAAGCCTAATAGGATAAGACTTCTACCATCTATTTTATAGTCTAATGGATATCATTGCTTCTGTGAATAGCTTGTGCGAGGTTCGAATTATTGACGTCGCTGTCCTTTGCGTCTTAAGCATTTCGTTTTTGGCGACACGACGGGACCCGCCAAAGTTTCCCGCGTCCACTGCCGTTGCCGTCCTGGCCTTCCCGTCCTCGTATCTTAAGGTCCCTAATAGATCGCAGATGACGTCAAAATGTGGTAAGAACAAAAAAGTGGCACACGAGGCGATAAGTTTTATATACTAACGAAACAAGCCACTACAGATAAAGCTTT